CGCAATGATGGTGCCAACTTGGGCCAGTGAAGCAACATCCTCCACAACTAGACTGAAGAACAAAACGACAGCAACTTGTCTGTTCCCTTTTCCCCGATTCCCCAGCACTGTTCCCATCCCCCCAATTCCCCAATAAAAATCTTAAAAAAAAATCTATTTAAAACTAAGATCCATAGTCTCTTATCTGGGGTCTGCTGAAATGTTTTGTCACAGTCACAAATGCTTAATCAGCTGGGGGATCTTATTAAGAGAGAATAAGACTATACTAGTGTTAAGGGTTCAGGGGATCTTAGCAATAATATCAATTTTTAAACTTAAAAACATAGGCTTTGAATGAATGTATTTTTATATTTTGCAAATGACTGAGGGGCAATACAATGACTGGCTCGGGACAAGTCCCAATGTGTCAGTGGTATCTGTCTTTAAATATAGGAAAACTCCCATAATTTGTCACTAGAAATCCCCAGAAAAACAAAACAAGAAAAACCCTCAACATTTTCTGGTTTAGATACTTTCAATTTTTATTACTGTTTTCATGCATCTCTTACATAATCAAAAAATTTTTATTTCTTTTGTGTTTGGTTATTAAGTAGCTTACTTACCCTTTGAAATTTATCAGAAGAGTTTATATTGAAAGCAGTTGGAGGATCCATTAGACTCCAATTTGCGTTTTTGGGGATTGCTATCCATTCATCGTCCTTCCTACAGGTAGTCACAATATAAGTATCCCTACCTGTTGTTGCTTGTCTGTCAAGATGATGGTGCATGTTTTAACCCAGGAGTAAATTGTTACATAGTTTCTTTTAGTCTTTCTAATGATCAGCTGTGTCCATTTGTAAGCAAAAGACTGTGGGAGTTTGGTTAACTTGAAATGGCTGAGCTCAATTAACCAATCAATCATGCATAGCTTGGGGAGATACGTTGTATTGCATACTATGACGTGTTTTTATGCATCTGTTTACTAAATTAGGAGTACGTTCAAATATTGTATTCTTTGAACTTTTTCCTTCTTCTCTCGGGAACTGTTTCCAAAAATGGGAAAATTATAGTTCTTTGACTTGCTATTACATGATTGATTAGAGACTGTGGGTTTTGGTTATGAGAAAATTGATGGATTTTATTTTTCCCCTCTCTTGGAGCTATTTAAAAAAAAAAAGGGAAATGGTGTTTTGTTGAAGTTTGATAATATATTTCCTTCCTGTATTTATGCTTCAGTTGAGCTTTTTGCGTTTTGGATATTTAATATTTTCAAATGAAACATAAAAGATAGACTTGGTTAAGGAAAGGAACTTCAGCAATTATTATCCTCTCTGAAATTCATTTCATAGCCAGGGAAGTAGGGTCACAAGAAAGAGGTCAGAGAACTCATTAATTAGCAGCTAGGCCCAGATCTCCTGACTTCACTTGGAGTTTCCTTTTCCAGTCTGCCTCTGTGTCTGTACTTTTCTTTAGAGTAAGTCCTGGAATGGAAAGGAGAATGGTATGTTAGAAAACTCTTTTCGACTTTAAAAGTGTGCAAGTTCATTGACAAATATTGAAATAGTTGAGGCATGGTAGTGCTATTTTATTTCTGTCTTTTTCTAAGTTATTATGCAGAGCCCTGAAAATCAGTATGGTCTTTTAGTAAGGAAGAAATAAAAATCAAGAAATAAAAGTTGACATATGCATGTTGCTATTCCTATTTCACGTGTATCTAATAGAAGGGCAGAAATCCTGCTAACTGGCTGACACACAGACGGGAAACATTCTTAAGTGGAAGTCTTAAGAGTCTATTGAAAGCCTCAGTAAAGCAGTATTATCTCATCAAAGTAAAATTTCTTAAATTGGTGATGATCTGATTGAGATAATGAATGCTTATATTTGATAGTCAGTTGTCACTACCTCATTCTTACTGGTTCTATCTCCATGGTGTTGGGCACTGCAGGCCATCTTTCTAGCTGCAGCGTCTTTGTATAGCCCAGTGCCTGGCACGTAATGGACACAGGAGTTGGATGACTCTTCAGCGTTTTATTCTCTAGGTCTTTTCACCTCCTGCCTTGACCGTTACAACTTCCACTTACCCTCTTAGTCCCTAATCTCTTACCTGCAAGTGTTGAAGTGGATAATTAAAGCTTTTTTGCCTTTTTGTATGAAAACTGAATCTCATGGCTTGGATGAAATTGGCAGCGTTTAAAAAGAGGTTCCTTCATGTTTTTGTGCTTGAAGTTAAACTGTATCGGATCAAAGCTGGTATTTCTTCCAGGGTTTGCTTTATGAGGGGGTGCTCCAGGGTAGCAGTTTTCAATAGACGACTTTGAACCTGCCCTCAGCGTTATCTTTCTGCCTCTTTATATAATCTTGTTGCACTCTGTGGGCCAATTATATGTGAGGCCATTTAAGGTTTCCTGGACACACTGACCTCTTATCCAAGCAATTAGGGCCCACAGAGATTTTCTGCAAGAATTACAACATTGTGCTCTTAAAATGGTGACTTTTGGCACCAAGTCCACAGGATGAGAGGTTTTTTGGGGGAATGGGGAACCCTTTGTCTTTAGTTTGTTAATAATTTTAAGAGGTTTGAGAAACTCATCAACATCATAGATTACAGAACATCATGGAAAAAACTATCATTTTTGTGTAAATGTAGATAATGTGGAAATCATTGCAACTACTTGTCAGTTTTAATGAATTGGTGACAGACGGCACAGAAGGCCTCCAAGGTGTTACCTAAGATTCTCTTATAGTCAGAGCTTGAATAACAACCTGAGAAGCAAGGCCTCCAATCCTTAAGGTTTCCCTTATTTTTAATAGTTGCACTAATTGCCTCTCATTACATGAGAATTTGAGAAAAGGATTTCATTTGAGATTTCTTTAGATGTATTTTTAAGACTAGAGCCCTCAAAAGGAAGAGTCCCATCAACTTCTAAAGCCCTTTAAGGTGACCTTAAGTCTCCTCTGGAATCTCTACAGCAGTCTTTATTCAGTGCCTAATTTTTCTTTGACCTTTTTTCCTCCCAGCTGCCGTATTCAAGATGGGTTAAAACTTTTGATGCATTTTATTTCCCGTTTAATGACTGTTGTTGCTTTCTCTAACTTTCATCGCAGATGAACAATTTTTGAGCTGTGTAATATGTTAGTAGGCTTCTTTGGGTCTACCTGGTATAATAATTTCGCCACCATTAATGACATTGTTTGACAAGAAAATGAATTCAAGTATAATAGGAAACCCCTCACTCAAAATCACATTTTAATGTATAACATGTTTTCCCCAAAATAAGACCTCGCGGGAGAAGAAGCCCTAGCGTGATTCCTGCAGGATACGGAGGGCACGCACCCTTCACAGGAGGGTTTTATGACCTGTTTCAGGGAGGAGGGTGCCTTTTCCACAAGCTCCTTCAGCTTAAAATACCCAGTATGCCAAGGTGCCATATTTTGGCACCTAAAATCATGCTACGGCTTATTTTCCGGCTAGGTCTTATTTTCGGGGAAATAGGGTATGTAGCACATGTGATAAAGGCTTAATACCCATAATATACAAATTTATCTTTCAAATTGATGAGAAACATCATGTAATCCGGTAGAAAATAGGCAAAGGATTTAAATAGGTACGCCTCAGGAGACGAAATCCAAATGGCCAGTCAGTATATGAACATGTGTTGTAACCCTGCTTAATAGTGAGGGTGAGGGCCGGCCGAGTGGCGTGTTGGTTAGGAGTTGGCTTGGGACACCAGCTCTGAGCAGCAGGGCCCTAGTTCAGATCCCACATGGGCCAGTGACACTGCGCCCTCTACAGCTAAGANCTGTTGCTTGATTTCTAGATGTTTAGACTTTCCGGCTATTTTCAGATCTTTGTTATTCCATTTTGATCAGAAAACATTTTTGTATGATTTCAGTCCTTTGAAATTTATTAAGACTGGCTTTATGGTCCAGCCTGTGATCTATTTTGGTGACTGTTCCATGCAGTTACAAAGAATACGCATTCTGCTGTTGTTGGGTGTGGTGCTCTTTCAAGGTCCTCTAGGCTGAGTGGCTAATAGTGTTTTCAGATCTTCTCAGTCCTTCTCTTAGCCAGCAGGTCGAAAGTGATCATCCTTACTTCTGTATCCTTCTGTAGAATATTTCTGTCCCTGCTCTTCTATCAGTTTACTAAGAGACTATTAAACTATCCTGGTATGAGTCTAGATTTGTCTATTTCTCCTTTTGCTTCTGTCAGTTTCTGGTTCATGTTGACTCCTCAGCTCCCGCCTGGCCAGGCGGCCACCATGGGTTTGCTGTGTTCTTCCTCAAAGGCCCACAGCTCCTCCGAGGCAGCTCTCTCAATGCGCGCACACTCTAGGCTGGCGCTTGCCCCAGGCCCCTTCCAGCCGAGGGCTGGGAACGGCGTCTGTTACTGCTAGTCCCAGGGCGCTGTGCCGTCCTGTCGCTTTTCCTCAACTCTGCCCACACCTTCCTACACGGCTCCTCTGTTATATGGTCCTCAGTTACTCCCTTTGTTGTGTGCTGGGACCCTGATTGATAAATGTATATGCTTAGGCTAAGCACTTCAGTTGGTAGGAAAATCCAGTGCAAAAGCCTAAAATGAGGGTGTGCCTGCCATGTTTAAGGACTAGTGAGAAGACCCGTGTGGCTGGAGTAGAGACCGTGAGGAGGACGCTTGTAGGAGATGAGGTCAGAGGGGAAATGGGGGCGCCTCCTCAGAACCAGCCTTGTAGGCCTTGGCAGAGGCTGGAGGGTTGAGCAGAGGCTTGGCGTTACTTGGTTCCTATTTCGTTATCGTCATCACTATGGCTGCTCTGTTGAGCATAAACTGTAGGCTGCAGGGGCTGAAACAGGAGGTCTGTTAGGTGAGAGAATGCTGTTCAAATGAGAAAATGATTTAAGTAGGAAACCCCTCATTGGCTTGGGTCAGCATTGTGGTGGTAGAGGATGTAAAACGTGAGCAATACTGGATATATCTTAAAGACAGTGGGATTTTCTGAGGGGTGATGAGAGAGAAAAGTTAAGAATGGCCGCGAAATGTCTGGTCTAAGCAACTGGAAGGATTAAGTTGCCATTAGCGGAACTGCAGAATACTGTGGGTAGGGCACACTTTGATGGAGAGGTTAGAAGCTCAGTTTTGAATGTGTTAAGTGTAATGCGCCTATTAGGCATCTCAGAGTCTGTTGGTGTCTGTGTTTGGAGTTCTGCGGTCTGGGTTAGAGATAGAAATTGGGAGCCAGCAACATTGAAAGGCATAAGACTGCGTGAGCTCACCAAGAAGAGGCTGTAGATGAAACAAGAGTCTAGAACTGTGTCTCTGCACCCAGTGTTAAGACAGTGAGGAGAAGAGGAAGAAAACAATGCAAAGACTTGAGAAGTCCAGAATAGAGAGCCCAGAAATAAATCCATGTATATATGGACAGTTAGTCTAAGACACTGGAAGCAAGAATTTACATTGGGGTAAAGATAGTCTATTTAATAAATGGTGCTGGGAAAATAGGACTGACCCATGCGAAAAAATGAAACTGGACCACCTCCTTACGCCATATACAAGAAAANCAGATCCCACATGGGCCAGTGACACTGCGCCCTCTACAGCTAAGATGGTGAACAACAGCTCAACCTGGAGCTGGGCTGCTGTGAGTCACCAGCGATGTGTAGGCTGCAGTGAGCAGCCCTAAGCTACCGTGAGTGGCTGGCAGCAGGCGTAAGTTGCCAAGAGCCGCTGTGAGCGGCCGTGCAATGGCCAGCAAGCGACTGCCTCACCAGGGAAGAGCGCAATGATCACAATACCAACATGGGCCAGTGAAGCGACGTCCTCCATAACTAGACTGAAGAACAAAAGGACAGCAACTTGTCTGTTCCCCTTCCCCGATTCCCCAATTAAATCTTTTTTTTTTTAAAGTTTTTAAAAAAAATAGGGCGATACAAATTATACAATAACATAGCAATTTTCATACATCACCTGGGTCAAAGCTTAAAAGTATTATAATGCCCAGTACCCACAAGGTTGTAGGGAAATGACATCATACATTGCTGGTATAAGCATGAGTGTATGTGACCTTTTGGAAAATAATATGGTAGTAGCTATTAAAATAAAAAAAATACATGTCCTTTGATTTAGCAGTTTATTTTTAGGTCTTATCCATTAAGGAAAAAATCAGCACATAAAATGGGATATTTATATGCAATATGCATATATTGCAGCATTTTGGTGTTTTCGGTACTGACAAAACTAGAAGCTTTCTGAGTGTATTAGTAGTGGAAGAATTGACTAAATTCTTGTATATCCATATTGTGGAATCTTGCGCAACTGTTAAAAAAGATTATATTAGAGTTATATCTGAACCTAGAGGCTTTCCATGTGACATTAAGCAAAAATTGCAGATGGTGAAGTTGTATATAAAGCATGATACCATTTCGTGTGAAAAATGTTTTTTGAAATACTTTTTTTTTTTTTTTAAGCTGAGCCATCCTGCCACCTGTTGGCAGCTCAGCGGCTGCTCAGCTCAGGCCAGGAATCAAACTACTGTTGCTCAGAGCTCAAGCTCTTGAACAAGCTCTTAATCAACTGAGCCACTCGGCCGGCCCTTTTGAAATACTTTTAACAGGTGTTTTATACGCCTATCTCTATACAGAGCAAAGCGTGGAAGGCTATGATGCTCCAAGCTCTTGACTTTGACTTCCTCCTGAGGCACTGCGTTAGGAGTGGGGTTAGGACTGGAAGGGGTCAACAGAGAGCATTTCAATTTTTTTTTTTTAAAGATTTTTATTGGGAAATTGGGGAAGGGGAACAGACAAGTTGCTGTTGTTTTGTTCTTCAGTCTAGTTGTGGAGGGCGTTGCTTCACTGGCCCATCATTGTGCTCTTCCCGGGGGAGGCAGATCAGTCGCCGGCTTCTGGACGGCTGCTCACGGCGGCTGCTGGCCACTCACGCTGGCTGCTGGCTACACACGGTAGCCCATGGCAACCCACTGCCACAGGGGCTGCAGCCTACGCCGTCGCCAGCGACTCACGGCAGCCCAGCTCCAGCTTGAGCTGTTGTTCAGCATCTTAGCTGTAGAGAGCAGTGTCACTGGCCCTCATATGTGGGATCCGAACCGGGGCCCTCTGGTGTCCCAAGCCAGCTCTTAACCAACGCGCCACTCGGCCGGCCGGCCCTAAATTTTTTTTTTTTACATTTGGATTTTCTTTGTTACAGTAAGCATGTATTATTAGCCAAATCGAATAAAAACCCCATGTGGAAAGTGAAAGTTTTACTAAAGTAAAGAATACATTCATTGTAAGTTCTGCTTTTTCTGTGACCTAACTCATAAAAATAAAAAGTTGTGCTTTATGTTTAAAACTTTGGTCTCATTTGACAGGACCTGACAATTCCTGGTTCTTCTGAGAAGTGTTCATAACCAGAGGTCATTCCTTGGTTTCCTTTCATGTTTTTGGTTGTCATTGTCTTGTGATGAATATGACTAGCTATACTAAGACCAACAAAGATATCTTCAGTAAATTATCATAATTTAGCAACACCTTATAGACAAACACTTTAGGAGGCGGAGTTGCAAATTGAACTTTGGGTATTGAATTGGGGTCAAATGATCTGTCAAAATATTGTAATGTGTGTCATCCATCATATTGCTGCTTTATCACAGTTCTTTCCTATTTCCAATATGGCTGTTATTACTTTGCAATATATATATATTTTTTTTTAATAGCACTTTTTGTTTCTATTACAAAAATAAAACACAGTACAAAAAACCTTGTAAAATATTGAAAAGCAGAAAGTATAAAACCCAATCATCCGTAAGGCTAATCATAAACCCTGTTAACATTTTAATATGTTTTTTTCTAATCTTTTGTTAACAGTGTCACTGAGTATAATTTATATACAGTAAATTTCATATATTTAAAGTGTACAATTTCATAAGTTTGGGCATATGTATATAACCATGAAACATCCCCATAATCAAAATAATGTTCAAATTCATTACCCACCCTAAAGTTTACTTGTACCCCTTTGTAATGTCCCTAGTTCCTCTATTCTCTGGTAATCACTGATCTTTATGGATTTTTTTTGGACTTCTTAGAATTTTATATAAATGGAATCATACAATATATACTTTGTCAAGTTTCTATCACTCAGTATAATTATTTTGTGGTTCTTCCATGTTGCATGTCTTAATAGTTCATTCATTCCATCCATCCATCCATCCATCCATTTATTTATTTATTTATTTATTTATTTTTGCTGAGTAGTATTCCATTGTATGGAAACATTATAATTTGTTTATCCAGTCACCTGTTGATGGACACGTTAACCGTTTTGAGCTTTTGAAATAAAGCTACTCTGAACATTCAGGTACAATTCTTTGCATGGACATATACTTTCTCTGAATACCTAGGAGTGAAATGGCTGTATCACATGCTAAGTGTTGAACTTTCTAAGAGACTGATGTTCTGTTTTCCGGAGTGGTGGTATCATTTTACATTTGCACCAGCAAGGTATAAGAGTTCCAGCTCCCCCACATTCTTGCCAGCTCTTGGTATGGTCAGTCTCTTTAACATCCTTCCATCCCTGGTTCTTACTGGCTGAGGGGTGGGCAAGGTGCTTTACCTGTAACCCTTACGATAATCACATTCAATGAGCAGTACTCCCTCTCTTTTGAAAGTAAGGAACCTTAGTCCTAGAAGGTTCAGAATACTTGTCTAAGGACACTGACACAGGACCGGATAAGAAATCACAGTTAGGTCTGTTGGGCTTCAAAGACTTTTTCTTTCCATTATATTACGTTGCCTTTTGGGATACTAAGAAAACCTCTTGAGCTTTGAAGGATTTATTGTAATGGAATTTGATCTATGCATACTTTTCTGAAATTTTAATTTTCACATATATGACAAATTTGAGTCTGTGAACAGAGTAAATTATAATTTAGGTTCCATTAGTGGAATTATTTTAAAGCCCTTGAATATGCTTGGGCAAAAATAGTGCATATTTTTTTTTTTGGAACAAGTATTGGCTAGGAATTGGGTAAGGAATTTAGAACCAGATGTTTTATTTTTACGTAGAGAAGGAAATTATAGGCTATACAATCAAGCTCTCGTATTATTTTGACATAATTTTATCATTCTCTGGGCTCCTGTAAGGTAGCATCTTGTGCCTGCAAACATTGTAGCTGGGGATTTCTCCCATGTACTGGTGTGTTTATATTCTGTTATACATGGCAATTTGGCAGTTTGTTTTGCAGATGTTCGTAATGTACAGTCTTACATCTTGTTTCTATTCCTGGAATGCTTTTAAGTATGACTCATGTTTTCTTGAGGCCATCCTAAAAATACAGCTAGCTTCAAAATTAATGTAAAATGCACCGCAGACACCACATCGCCATGCATAATGCTTTCTCTCAGCAGTTTAATGCAGTTTCCTGACAAATTAAATTTTCTTTTTTGACAAAATACACTATACTAAAACAAGTGAAAACGGGATTTTTTTCTTTTTTTTAAGAAGTGGGTCTTCTGATAGGAGGACAACAGAATGAATTTGAAATTTTAATAAAAGGAGTTGAACAAGGTATCATTGGTATCACCAGAAAACCAAGAAATAGAATTAATGGCCTGAAAAGCAAGTCCACTCAATGTGAGGGAGCCTGTGAGGTCCATACTTGTAGGGAAAGTCTTGGACGCGAGACTTTTAACAAGATTTTGGAAGGGCAATAGGACAATAATGGCGGGCATGTAAGCTTTGGACTCAAACGGTTTAGGGCTGAATGTTGGCTTATGCACTTACCACCTATGGACAAATGCTTCCACCTTGAGAATTTGATTGTTTTTTAATTTGTAGAATGGGGGCAAAGGGTATTCAGCAAATGCTTAGATGGTACTTACTACTCCTGGGCACTTCTAATTTCCTAATTGAATCCTCATAACAACTTTATAAGTAAAGAGGTTTATCATATCCCCTCTACAGTTGGAGAAACAGCACAGAGGGTTAAATAACCAGTTAAGGTTACAGAGCTAGTAAACAGCAGAATTGGGGTTGGAACAGTTTGGCTCGAGTCTGTATCCTTATCTACTACCGTCTGCTACCTTCTAAGGTTGTTGTGAGATCAACTGAGATACTCAGTATGAAAACTCATTTGAATTTTTACCTGGCACTTGACAAGAATGCAATAAATTATAGCCATTATTATTACTGTTACTGGGAGGAGGGAAAAGAAGGGAAAAGAAGAGGTGTTCGTGAAGGCACAGCGCAGACTCCAAGGCCGCCCCAGGATTCAGAAGCTGCTTATACAAATTCAGAAAGTGATGTGGAGGTGAAATGCAGTGGTGGTGACAGCCTTGCTATCCCGACATCTAGAAGCTCAATCGAAAGGTAGAACTTACTGCTGACTTGCCTCCCGACAATTTCATCTTTCGGAGGTAGGGGAAACGGGGGGACTCTTTCTCTGGGTTTAATTGTGATTAATTAGAAATAACTCATTAGTGGTATGCAAGCAACGGAAACCTTGGGGGAAAAAAACAAATGTTGACGCAGACACAGAATTTCTCAACAGGGTGCCATTAACACATTGGGCAGATGGGACTGTTTTGGACATTGTGGTTAGTGTCCCTAAATGTCAGCAGTGTACTGAATTAGCCCTCATCCCCGGAAGTTTTGCAACAACTAAAAGGGCCCCCAGACATTTCCAAGTGCCTTCTAGTTGGCATGGAGTAGTGGCAATGCTGCCACTGTTGAGAACCACTGTTGAGTGGCAAGAGTAATGGAAAAGATTGCTGAGAATTGTCAGGCGTGCCGTAGGCCAGTGGTTCTGAACACACGGGAGGATCATACTGAGTAGAAGACACTCCCACGCGCATACTCAGGGTTACTGATACACAGCTCCCAGGGTTCCAGCTTTAAGGAACGCCATGCCTTTCTCTCCTGCTTAAGAAAGTACGCTGTTGTACAAACTGCTCTGTGATTATAGGTATAACTGTGGTTCTTCTTTAGTTTGCTAAAAAACACATATATTCCTTGACCTCAGCACTTGAATAACACTGACAACATGTGAGGGGCAGAACACACATTTGATTAGGAACTGCTGCCTTTGACTTTAAAAAATCTTGAAAATGAATATCGTTCCAAGGTCAAGGCATTCAAAATGGAATCCTGTGTATAGAGAACTCAATTGAGAGTCTATAGTTATGAATAGTTACAAATAGTTACAAATAATAAAAGGTGGGAGTAGGCTGAAGAGACCAACTTGGCTTTACCGTCTAGAACCCTGGAAATCTCGTATTTTAAGTCATCAAGCCCAGGGAACGGAAGGGTGGGCACATGTCCAAGGTTGAATACAAAGGAGCCACCCAAAATGTAAGGATCGTGTGGGGAAGGCCTGTGACTGAGATTTGTGCCAATAAAGAAAAAGAAAAATCCCAAGTGTTTAAGTGTTTAATTACATGTTTGCTATCAGAGTAAGAAGCAGCAGTGGAGCTGCAGCATAGGGAACGTGGTATAACTTTAGTGATCGAGAAGTTAGAGCTTCTTAACTCTTGTTTCATTCTTTTTTTTTTTTTTTTAGCTGAGCCATCCTGCCACCTGTTGGCAGCTCAACGGCTGCTCAGCTCGGGCTGGGACTCGAACTGCTGTTGCTCAGAGCTCGCACTCTTGAGCGAGCTCTTAACCAACTGAGCCACTCGGCCAGCCCTCTTGTTTCATTCTTAAACAGCAAGGGGACGGACTCATCTCGCGATATGAAAGAGTAGACTATATCACAAAGAAGGATTTAAGCCTAAAGTAGGAAAGCAAACAACGAAGTGAACAACTGTTAGTTATAAATGAGGCTGACTCTCCAGCCTCAGGTGAATTGCATCTTAGCATCATGAAACTCCTTGCTCAATTCTCAGACGTGTAGGTCTTAGAGCGATGTTCTCAGCCCGTTTTTCACTATTGCTCTCCTAAGGACATTTCCCCTCAATTGTCTCTCCCAACCCCATGAAATTTCAGCATCACAGATACATTGTATGTCTGTTTATGCACAATGGCCCTTTGGTGGACTACAGACCATTGTAATAGCTAAGAATTTTTCTCAAGCCCCTCTCCAGGAACCTGTGTTTGCCCCCTTGGGGGTGATGTCTTCCCCAGCCCCACCGTGAATGTCCTAGAGGATTTATAGAGGAAGGAGAGAGGTCAAGCATCCCCACTGGGTGAAAATCTCCTGCCTTTCAGACATAGAGGCACTTGGTTTCGGGAAATTACAAGATGCTTTGGTGTGACCCCACTGAAATGATAAACCAACCGTGCTGCCCAAAACCTTGTCCTTGATCTTCCCAGCAGAAGAGAATCAGAAATCAGAAATTTATCTTTATTTTTTTCAAATGATTAGATATTAGCTTTTTTTTGGTGGGGGGAGTGATTACATGTTAGCTTTTGAGGGGGCGGGGTGAGGGAACTACTCTAGCAATACTGTGCTCTTAGAGGGGGATAAAAAGCACAGCTTTAGCTCTAGGAAAGGGTTCTTAGTTTGATCTTTGAACTCCTTCATGACCTCACTGGGTGATTAAAGGAAGTTTAAAAAGTATGTTTGTGTGTGTGTGTGTGTGTATAAAGTGCAATACAATACTAAACCAAACACTGCAGCCCACACCCAAATTAAGAACTAAAATATTATCAATAGCATCGAAGCTACCATGAGAATCTGAGTCCATGCCCAGGTATCCATTATCCTGAATTTATCATTCTCTTGACCTTTTCCTTTTTCAAGCACTGTTTTATCATGTATGTATGTGTTTATAATGAATTCAATTTGCTACTTTTTGGAGCTTTATCAAAATAGTGTGATTTATTCTGAGACTTAATTTTGTCCCTCAGTATCATACCTTGTAAGAGTTACATATATTGTTGGAAGTAGTGGTAGTTCATTCTTTTTTGTTGTTGTTATATAATATTGCATTGTGGGTTTTTTTTTAATCCATCTCTTGTCTCCAGTTTTATTTTGAACAACGCTGCTATGAGTATTATATGTCTCCTGACGTACAAGGGCAAGAGTTTTTATTCTATACCTAGGAACGCAATTTCTGGGTCACTGGGTGACTTACAGATGAGCAAACACAAATTAATTGTGTTAATTCAGACATTTTAGGAAATGCTCAGGCAGAAGATAAGCAGATTGAGAGGTAGACTTAGAAGGGCGTTGTATGAAGTAGTCTTTTATTCCCAAAATAATTGGTGTAGAAGAATAGTCTTAAATTCTAAAGAAGTAATTTAAGTCTTCATCAAACTTTATAACTGTGAAGTTGGAGACCTCACAACCCATTGCCAACTTAAGTTAAAACAGAGTTTTCTTAAATTTTTTAAGACTATGATAATCATTAATTGTCTGGGATGGTTTGATCATATCCCCTTTTTAGAACAAAAGGGCTGGGCTATGAAACTGATAAAGTAATGACACCATTCATTCCTCATATCACCCTTGAAAATCACTTTCATTTCTTTTGTGACACTTGTAGGTGATGGTTCAAATGTTCTTTACAAGCTTTTAAGTGTTCGATTATGTGACTCTGTGATATCATAAACTTTGTCTTGTTTTCACATTGATAATGATGGTTTTATTGTAAAACAGTGAAAATTCACCAGGTGTATGTATCATTGTATGTGTATACATGTATATGTGTGTATATGTATTTTCATGTAATATGCTATCTTCATTGATTGCTTGGAGGTTTATATTATATACTTGATTTGCATTTAATTTTATCTTTGTTTCTCCTTTAAGTTTCAGACTCGCTGGCTCAATCTGTAATTCAGCATCTAAGATGGATAATGCAAAAGGATCTTTTGGGGCAAGATGTCTTTCTAATAGGACCTCCTGGGCCTCTTCGACGCTCTATTGCTATGCAGTACCTGGTGAGCAGTCAATTCTTGTGCTTTCCTAAGTGTCTTAACGCTGATAAGTTATGTTGTAAGATAAAGTTAAGAATTTATAAGAATATCAGGATTAGTCACTACTTGCAAAAAGTTGTTAATGTTGAATGATGATTTGTTTACAAAGAGTTTGGAACAAGTTATTTGGGAAGCAAATGTATATTTGCCTTTTATAGCTTTAGCACATTTTTGCTGTAACTAGAAACATCTCCACTTCCAGTGGAAAAGAACCATAAATTCAGTCAGCGAGTAGCAGGTAGAATCAGCCACTCTGAGATTACAAAACAAAACTTAGTTTTGTGCTACTTAGGGGACATTCTTTTTGCTCAGATCCACATTTTCAAAAGCCTAACAATTCTCTGGATTTTTTTATGTTTAGTGGTCTTTAAAGGGAGCCTAAGGTTTGTAGAATATCTCTTTTGTGTAACACAATTTTTTTTTCCTTTAAATAGATGAGGAAAGAAGTTCATTAAATAATTCACTCAAGCTTTACGCAGCTGGTGAATGATGGAGCTAGAATTCAAATCTCAAATTGTTCCTTCTTTCTGACACATCTTCCTGTTAAATGTTTGCAGTTCTCTAAGCGTGGTTGTGAACTGAGTTGAAATATTCAATTCTCGACCCCACATAAAAAAAATTTCACCACTTTTTTTTTTATTTTGTCAGCATTAATAGACATTGCTCTAGTGATTTTAGGAAGAATGCTATCAAATGAGGTTGTTTTGCTCTGAAGGTACTTTTTAGGATGAAGAGAAAAACCTTGCTTAAACTTTCCTTGTGTTATTAAAGAGTTGATTTCTGTGCTTTTGAAATATACTTTGCGTACTCTTCTATGTCAGTGGTGAATTTACTGTGGTACTTCCAAAATCATGCAGGGCAGGAATGATAATGCAATGAACAAATCAGAACCTCACTCCCTCTAGCCCATACCTGTCATGCGAGTATCTTTTGTTCCCAGAACCAGTTTGTGCAATTGTGTACATTGTAGCCTCACTTTATTAATACACATGGCAAAAGTCTCTCCTTTAAAAATGCAGAGTCATCTACTGAGAATCCCAGATCTAGAGCCTCTTTAATTTTATTTAAGACGTGCCCTCTCTACCTGGCTCATTTCAAAGACCACCACATCTCACTCTGGTTTTGTTTCTGGTAAGACTTTGATGCTTGTTAGCGAGGACCGTGGAATGAGAAAGGCTAGGAGGTTATAGGAGTCTTGTTGGTTCAGAAATGTAACGTAAGTCTCTGAGTGTGAAGCCTGTGTGTTAAAACAAAGCTTTAAATTGTGAAACAGCTGAGGCCGCTTTAGGATGTGGAAATACACGTAAGAAAACTTACTAGCGTAAGCTGCCCTGCAAACTCTGCAGTGGGTACTGTTGCCGTTAGATAAAAGGTCCTACGCTTGGTAGTAACTACAGTAGATGAGGTGTTTAAGGCAGAAATTTGGGGGCAAGCCTGCTGAATCTATGAGAAATTAAGTAGAAATAATTTGATAGTTGCATTTGTATTGAACTCACATAAAAGTTTTGTAGATGG